CCCAAGACAGAAGAGGCAAGCGGGGAGGGCAGTTGAGGGTCTACTCCGATAACAGCAGGGCAGCTGCCTGGGCCCGTGCCCAGGCAGCTGCCCTACTGTTATCAGAGTAGACCCTCCCCTGCCCTCCCCGCTCGCCTCTTCTGTCTGAGTCATTACAGCTGTGCAGAAGCAGCTGTCTGGGCATAGGGACACGTCCGTTGAGGGACTGATTCTACACGCCCGTGAAGTGGCCCTCAAGAGCCAGCCTGGCGTAGTGGCTGAGAGTGGTGGCCTCTAATCTGGCGAAGCCGCTTGGATTCCCCACACTGCTCCTCCGCATGAAGCCTGCTGGGTGACCCTGGGCCAGTCACGGTTCTCCCCGACCTCTCTCAGCCCCACCTGCCTCACAAGGTGCCTGCTGTGGGAAGAGGAAGGGAAAGGTGATTGTAAGCCTCTCTGAGACGCCTTAGAGTAGAGAAAAGTGGGGTATGAAAACCTGCTTGTTTACTTCTTGATCAAGACCAGTATTGCCTCCTCTGATGGTCCCAGGTCATTCCCATCACCGACTACCTGATGCTTTCCACTGGAGTTGCTAGGTAGTGGACATGGGATCTTCTGCGTGCCGAGCAGATGCTCTACCGCTAAGCCATGGCCCCCTCCCCTGCTTGGCTCTGCTCTGTGGAAGTGGGAGGGCGGCGTGTGACAGGTGTGGTGTTGTGTAGGAATCTGAAACCACAGCGCCAACTCTGGGCTCTCTCACACACACACACCCAACTCCCACCATTCGGTGCACACAAAGAAGCAATTGTGCGCATGCCCTGAGAAACCAGCCTGCAGGATGGTGTGTCTAAGCCGGCATCATGCTTCCCACAGTTGTGGGCCAGATGATGACCCCAGTAGGACCATAGAAGCCAACAGGTCCCCAGTAGGGGTTGTGCATTCTGTAAAGCCAAACAGAAAAAAACCCTCCAAAAATCCTTTTTGGTATTTTTCGGGTATTCAGAATCTCTGATGTGATTCGACTGCCAAATACAGAATGCCAAATAAAAGCTCAAAATATTCGGATTTTATTCAGATTTTTCTAGTATTACCGAATACAGGATCGGGGGGGGGGGGGTTAAACTTTAAAGGGCTGCACTTACCTTCTCTTTCCCACCATTTCTGTCTCTTTCCTGCCCTTTGCTCTGCTTCCCAGAAGGGAGGGGAAGAGGGTCCTTACATACAGTCAATCACTGCAATTCATTAGCAAAAGGCATTGCAGCTTGCAAGGCTGCTGTTGCTGCTGGCTTCAAACTTGAAGCCCAACTACAGCTTGATTTCCCAGGGACAGAAGGGGGAGGAGCACTGGCCAATAGGATTACAGGTAAGGATGAGCACACTGCTCTTTGGCCACTCACAGAACTTTGTTCTTTTTAAAATTCTTCTGTGTACTGTTGTTGTGATGATTCTGTGCTTACGTTGACATAGTCCTCCTGTTGAGCTGGCATTTGCCACAATGGCATTGGGTTCTGCTGCTAGGCACTAGCACTAGAACATTGCACTGGTTCTGCTGCTGACCTTGCAAACATGCCCCCTCACACCACACCTCATTTAGTTTCTACTGTGGAGATTCTCTGGGAGAAACTGCTGGGCTGTTGTTTTTTCTTGCCTGCCTTTGGAAACAATGGAGGATGGGGGTTCTTTTGGGGAGAGGCTACAATACAAATTTGGTGCCTCTACCTCAAACTCGCCTCCCCCCAGTCCACTGAATACCAGTGTTCCCTCTAAGCTGAGTTAGTGTGAGCTAGCTCACAGTTTTTTAGCCTCCAGCTCCCACAATTTTGTCTTGGCTCAGGAAGGATGGCTCCAGAGCAAACTAATTTATGTGCAGCCAAATCGCTCGCTCACAGCTTTTATGCCAGTAGCTCACACAGTAGAAGTTTTGCTCACAAGACTCCACAGCTTAGAGGGAACATTGCTGAATACTCCTTAGAAGATTTTGCCATTGACTACAATCAATGTTTCCTCTAAGCTGTGGAGTCTTATGAGTAAAAATTCTACTTTGTGAGCTACTGGCATTAGAATTGTGACCGAGCAATTTAGCTACTGCGTAAATTAGATTGCTCTGGAGCCATCCTTCCAGAGCTAAGACAAAAATATGTGAGCCGGAGGCTAAAAAACTCTGAGTTAGCTCACACTAACACAGCTTAGAGGGAACACTGACTACAATGGACCCATAGGCTATAATGAAGCCATTTTTT